TTCCCTCCCCCCGCCACCGCACTTCCTTGTGCCAGGTCCCCCCCAGGTAGACCCCCTTCCCCCTCAGGGTCCTGCCCCTTCAGGTGTGTCCCAGGTAGACGCAGTCGAGCCGGTCGAGGTTGCTGGCGACTCTGGTACTGCTGCGGGTGCGGAGCCAGGGGGTGCTGACTCTGGGGGTGCTGCGCGCGTGGGTGCTCAGCCTGGGGGTGCTGAGCCTGGGGGTACTGCGACTAGGGGTGCTGAGCCTGGGAGTGCTGAGTCTGGGGGTGCTGAGCCTGGGGGTGCTGCAACTGGGGGTGCTGAGCCTGGGGGTGCTACGTCAGGAGCTGCTGAGCCAGGGGGTGCTGCTGAGCCTGGAGTTGCGGAGCCTGTGGCCACTGGACCTCCCCTTCTGGCGTCTGGCGGTGCGGGGCCTGGAGGCTCTCCGGGTGCTTCGTCTCGGCAGGAGCCACTCTCTCCACAGGAGCTGCGCGAGTGGTTTGCTCGCCGCTGGAGGCGTACTGCTGGAGCTGGAGCTTCTTCGGCCGCTAAGGGTACTTGTGCCGCCGGTCCCGGGGCTCCTGGGCCTTCGGGTCCGCCTAGCGCTGGAGATACTGAGGGTGTTGGTCCTGAGACTGCTGCTGTCCTTCCTGGCGGTGGTCTTGCTGCGGCTGCTGCTTGTGCTGCTAGAGGTCCTGCAGCTGGAGGTGCTGTTGGCGCTCGTGCTGCCACTGAGGGTGCTGGTGCTGTCCCTGCTGTGTCTGGAGTTGCCGCGCGGCCTCGGCCGTACTTGGCTCCGCTCCTGCAGCAGGTTCTTGGTTTTTCTCCTCCTGTAGAGTGTCCACCGCCTGTCCAGTCACAGTCACAGTTAGCGCCCGCCTCCCCACTTCCTGCTCCCTCTCCTTACACTGGTCCTACTGGAGGTCTTGCTGAGCGTCGTGAGCCTGCGTCTCGTCCCGCGTCGCCTGTTCGAGCGGCTCGCGCTAGTGGTCGCGGTTCGCGTCAGCGTCCTCCTCCTATCCCTGGCACCCATCGGATGTCTCTGCGTCCGTCCACTGCTCCTCTACGTGCCCGTTTGCCTTCTCCTCCTGAGTCCTCTCTTCCTGCACTTGCCGACCCAGAGTCAGACTCTCTCCGTACTGCCAGTCCTACTGTCACGCGTCTCCTTGCTACTGTCGTCACTGACCCCTCTTTTGAGTCCACTGCTGCGTCTGCGCTTGTTGCTGAGCTCGTCGACTTTGCTTCTCGCTGTCGTCTAGACTGCGCTGCCAGTCTTGTTGCTGATTCTGAGTATGTCTGTCCTCCGTCCGTTGGGGGTGAGTGTGCTCTTGGCACGGACGTCCTTGAGGACAGGCAGGAGGAGTTCCAGTGTCTGGCTGCTGCTTCACCTCATCTCGCGTCCGTACTACTTGCCCCTGAGGGAGACCCAGATGCACTAGACATCCCGACTTCGCGCTCTTACGCGGAGGCCGTAGAGGGTCCCTACTCGTCTCAGTGGCAGGCAGCTATGGATGCAGAGATGGCTTCCTGGAAGTCCACAGGCACCTACGTTGACGCGGTTCCCCCTCATGGGGCGAACATCGTCAGTGGCATGTGGATCTTCAGGGTGAAGCGGCCGCCGGGCTCTCCACCTGTCTTCAAGGCGCGTTACGTGGCTCGTGGCTTCAGTCACCGGCAGGGAGTTGACTACTTTCAGACCTTCTCTCCCACCCCGAAGATGACCACTCTTCGGGTGCTGCTGCACATAGCCGCTCAGCGCGACTACGAGCTCCACTCTCTTGACTTCAGCACTGCTTTCTTGCAGGGTAGCCTGCACGAGGAGATCTGGCTGCGCCGTCCACCTAGCTTCACTGGGACTTTCCCTCCTGGCACCCAGTGGAGCCTCCGACGGCCAGTCTACGGTCTCCGCCAGGCACCGCGTGAGTGGCACGACACACTGAGGACTACGCTTGCGGCTCTTGGGTTTGCTCCCTCTACTGCTGACCCGTCGTTGTTTCTGCGCACCAACACTTCTCTGCCGCCGTTCTACATCCTCGTGTACGTTGACGACTTGGTCTTTGCCACAGCTGACACTGCTGGACTCGCCTACGTGAAGTCCGAGCTGCAGAAGAGACACACGTGCACAGACCTGGGTGAACTGCGCAGCTACCTTGGCTTGCCGATCACTCGGGACAAAGCACGACGCACCATTACCTTGACTCAGTCACACATGGTGCAGCAGGTCCTTCAGCGCTTCGGCTACACGTACTCCTCGCCTCAGGCCACTCCTCTGTCTACTCGCCACTCGCTCTCAGCTCTGTCTTCAGATGAGTCCATAGAGTCAAGTGGCCGGTACCCAGAGCTTGTTGGCTGCCTCATGTACGTGATGACCTGCACACGACCTGACCTTGGATACCCTCTTAGCATTCTTGCACGCTATGTTGGTCCTGGGAGACACCGACCAGAGCACATGGCTGCAGCGAAGAGGGTGTTGCGCTACTTGTGCAGTACGTCGGGCATGGGACTAGTGCTTGGAGGGCGGAGTCCAGTGGTCCTCACCGGGCACACGGACGCTTCTTGGGCTGACGACCAGGCTACTCAGCGGTCGTCACAGGGTTACACCTTCAGTCTTGGTTCGGGCTCTGTTTCGTGGCGGGCTACTCGCTCGTCTTCTGTTCTCGGCTCCAGTTGTGAGGCTAAGATCTACGCCGGGGCCATGGCTGCTCAGGAGCTTCGCTGGCTCACCTACCTGCTGACTGACCTTTGAGAGCCGCCTCGTTCTCCTCCAGTGCTGTACGTAGACAACAAGGCCATGCTGGCCTTGTGTCGAGAGCAGCGCCTGGAGCACAGAACGAAGCACATTGCTCTCCGCTACTTTCTTGCTCGTGAGCTGCAGCAGCGTGGTCAGTTGCGACTTGCGTACGTGGCCTCTGAGGCGAACACTGCTGATGTTTTCACCAAGGCACTTCCGCCTTGTGATCATCAGCGCTTCTGCACTCAGCTGGGACTTGTACCCGTCTTACCTCACTTGCTCACCTCTTGATCTTACTTGTACCCTTGCATATATATATATATATATATACCTGCTCTTGCTTGTTTAGTGTTATATATATATGTGCACTCCTGCATGTGAACTGGCCTTGTGGCCTTGACCTTGTGCTCGGACTGTGTGGTGACTTTGTGATCCACCCTGAGCTTGCTTTGCTTTGCTTTGCTTGACTGGTCTTGTGACCCCTTGTTCTCCCCCACTTTGCCTACGGGGGTGTGTCAGAAGATTATAGCTTATGCTTTTGTGTAGGCTGTAGTGGGGTAGCCCATATGGGGTACAACCCAATTAGGGTTAGTACTTGTACCCAACTCTTTCATCGTGCATTTCATTCTCGTTCAACTTTTCTCAAGCCGCACCTGCCCCACAGCCTCGAAGCAACGAATGAAGGCGGGGAAATGCAATGCCTTCGTGAGGTAGTCAGCAGGCTGCTCGCTCGTAGGGATGTACTACAGCTGCAGCTTCCTGCGCTTGACCATGTGCTGCAGCCACATGTGACGACGCTCCATGTGCTTGAGGCTCCCCTTGAGCCCCATGCCACCTGCCACTGAAATGGCGGAGGAGTTGTCCACAAAGAGAGTCGTGGGCTCCTCACTCCTCAGCAGTTGAAACTCTGTCAGCAGGAAGCGCAGCCTGCGCGCCTCCTTCCCAGCCTCCACAGCAGCAACGTACTCAGACTCGGTGGAGGAGAGGGTGGCGCAAAGAATCCTCTGGCTCGCCCATGAGACAGCAGCACCCCCGAGCACGAAGACATAGCCACCTGTGCTGGTCCTGTTCTGATTGTCCCTTGCATCATCAGCATCGGCGTAGCCCACCAGCTCCAAGGACTCCGACCCACCACCAAACTCCAGCGCCACATCCCTGCTCCCCACCAAGTACGTCAAGCACTGGTCCAACTCCTTCCAGTGCTGATCACTCCGCATAGTCTAGCCCGACCCCAGCTTGCTGCAGGCGAACGATATGTCGGGACGGGTGGTACAGGCCGCAAACTGCAAGGATCCCACCTTCTGCCTGTACTCCTCCTCCTGGCGAGACTGCCATCCCACATCCTCGAAGGTCTGCACACTGAAAGGGTCAGAGAGGGGTGCGAGGCACTCGCAGCGGCTGCTCCCCGTCAAAGAAGCGCCCATGGACCTTGTCCACATAGGCCCCCTGGTGCAGCCACAGCCTCCTCGTGGGCGTGTCCCGAATCAGTTGCAACCCCAGATATTTCTCCACAGGGCTAATCTCCCGCAGCTGAAAGGCACTCTGCAGCAGGTCACGCAGCTCCGCTAGCATGCTCTGACTGCGGCTGGCAGCAAGCAGGTCATCCACATACACCAGCAACCAGCACATCTCCCCCTTAGCATCAGTCTTTAAGTACAGAGCCTCATCCACCTTGCTCTTCTTCCATCCAGCCCCAAGCAGCACCCCATCCAAGGCCTCATACCATAGCATCGGGCTCTGCTTGAGCCCATACAGACTCTTCACCAACTTACAGACACGAGGAGTCCCATCCTCGTAGTAGCTCGGCTGCTCCATGTAAAGGTCTCGGTCCAGCACGCCATGGAGGAACGCGTTCTTCACATCGAGCTCCATCAGGTCCAAATCAAGTGCAGCTGCAATCGCTAGAAGCACACGCGCCGTCACATAGCTTCCCACAGGGGCGTACGTCTCCTCATAGTCCACCCCTGCCACCTGCGTGAACCCCTTCACCACCAGCCTCGCCTTCTCATGCTCCACTATCCCATCAGGTCGGAACTTGGTTTTCAAAATCCAACGGTTCTTCATCACACTCACCCCTGGCGGACGCGGAACCAACTCCCACGTCCCCTGCTCAATCAAGCTCCGCATCTCCTCATCCATCGCCTCCTTCACCTTGTCTCCCTTCCAGCAGCCCAAGGCCTCCTTCACTGTCATTTTCGCTATGTCCCACTGCCTCTCAGGATCAGCTGCCACGTCCGGGTCCAGGTTAGTCCACTCCTCGTCCTCCTCCTCGTCATCCAAGCCCGCTGGCTCAACCACTACAGCCCAAGCGTATCGAACAGGCGGGACACCACGAGTGATGCAAGTGGAGCGACGCAGTGGTGCAGTGGTCGTCCCAGAAACCAACACACGACCACCATCTCTAATTCCCCACATCTCCTGCTCCCCTGTCTGCGGCTCCCCTGTCTGCTGCTCCCCAATCTGCTGCTCCCCTGTCTGCTGCTCCCCAATCTGCTGCTCCCCTGTCTGCTGCTCCCCAATCTGCTGCTCCCCTGTCTGCTGCTCCCCAATCTGCTGCTCCCCTGTCTGCTGCTCCCCAATCTGCTGCTCCCCTGTCTGCTGCTCCCCTGTCTCCTGCCCCCCACTCTGTTGTACTCCATCCATACTGCTCTCGTCCTGCAGCTGCTCAGTCTCAAGGCGCTGCCCGTCGGTGATCTCCACAGACGGTGGCACCTCCATCCCCCCCTCACCAACGGGCGGCGCCGTGGAAGACGAAGAAGAGGGCGGAGCAGGTGCATGAGGGATGGAGGGTGGAAGGGGAGATGGAATAACAGGAGGAGGAAGGGAAGCCAAGGGGGGGTGATGAGGAAGAAGGCGGGGCAGGGGGAATCACACGAGGGTAGACTGAAGGCGGAGGTGGGGTGGGGACCAAGGTAGGGACATAGGGCATAGCAGGAGGTGCGACCACCTCCTCCTCCTCCTCCGCCTCCTCGAGAGTGATCGGGAAGAGTGAAGGAAGGGGCTCATAGGGCATCGAATGCCCCCCATGCTCCTGCTGATGCCAAGCCTTCCATCCTGCTAGGGACATGGTCTCATAGAACACAGCTTCCACAGTGGTGATGAGGCGGTTGGACTCCAAGTCCAGCACGGTCCAGCCCTTGCTCGCAGCTGACACACCCAAGTGCAACCCCCAGCGAGCCTTAGGCGCCAGCTTCCCCCCACGTTGCGACTGTGGTACCATGTACTGCAGCATGCAGCCCCAAACACGCACCATACTGACATCATGTTTGCGTCGGAAGGCGAGCTCGTACGGCGTCACACCAGAGGGTAGTGAGGCGTGCTCCACGCGGTTGCGCACCCAGACAGCCTGAGCCAACGCCAGGTGCCACCAGTGATGCTGCACACCCATGTGCAGCAACATCGTCCGCACCGCCTCCACAATGCTGCCCATCTCCCTCTCGGCCATCCCGTTCTGCTCCGGCGTGTACGGGCATGTGAGGTCATGGATGATGCCTTTAACGTCGAGGAAGAGCGTGAAGTCGTGCCCCAGGAACTCGCCACCCCGATCAGTGCGCAGCGCCTGCACCGTGGTCTTGCACTGTCGCTCTGCCATCGGGAGCCACTTCTGGAACGCCGCCAGCGCATCACTCTTCTGGGCCAAAGGGTAGGCCCAGACATATCGCGTCTTGCGATCCTTCAGCACCAAGAAGTAGCGGCTGCCGTCCTTAGCTGCTTCACGGAAAGGGCCACACAGGTCAGCATGCACCACCCCGAGCAACTCATCCTCCTTCTCTCCCACAGAAGGAAAGGTATGACGAGTGATCTTTCCCTCAACACAGGAGACACAAGGTATGCCTGACTTGCCCCCCTTCTCCAAATCCAAGCCCTTCACTGACCCGTGAGCCGCTATGCGCTGGATGGCATCAATACCAACGTGTGCCATACGCGCATGCCACAGGTTCCCCTTAGACCGTACGCCCGTCGCCAAGGTACGAAGTGCCACCGTTTCGCCTTCCTGCTGCTGCGTCGAACACGGCTGGAAGTTCGTGCAGAGAACACACCCCTTGAACTCCGCACGACCAAGGAGCGATCCATCTGGTGCCCGCAGCAAAGTCACATCCCCGGCATCCAGCAGCTGTACACCACTATCACGCAGCTGCCCAGCAGAGAGAAGACTCGCCTGCACTCCTGGTACATACAGCACGTCCGGCACCAAGACACGCCTGCCCCCCTCCCCAAGAAGAGCTAGTCTGCCTTGCCCCTGCACCTCCTGAAGGGCGCCGTTGAAGCCGGTAACCTGCTTAATGCTGCCGCCGCTGCTCATCTCCACAAAGACAGAATGATCTCCCATGAGATGGTGGGAGCATGCGCTATCAAGCAGCACGACGCTCGGGTTCGCCTTCACAGCAGCTGCAACAGCCTGTAAGCCCTCCCCGACCTCAGGCTCTAGCACAACGAGAGGATTCTGCTCCACAACTGGCTTCACCATCGCACATGATGACTGCCCGCTCCCCTTGGAGCCATCACCCCCCTTTCCGCTGCTACCTCCAGAACCCTCTCCACCGGTGTCTGCCTCCTTATCCGCCCGCTGCTGACAGTACTTAGCAACATGCCCTATTTGTCCACACACATAGCACTTCCCCTTGAAGCCCCCTTCCCCCCCCTTCGGCTGGCCATCCTTACCCCCTTTCCACTTCTCCCCTCCCCCACCAAGCCCACCCCCATTCTTAGGCTGCTGCTGCTGTGCCGTAGTGAGAGGGGAAGGGAATGAAGTCTGCTGGAATTGGGGCTTACCCTTCTTGGTAAAGACCTGGTTAGCCTGGGGAAGGAATTGGTCCTTTCGTCCCTCTGCCGCCAGCGTACACTCCTCCTCGATGATGTAGCTAGCGAGGGTGTCCTCGTCCAACTCCTTGCGCACCTGCGGCAACTTCAGCAACCTGCGTAAGAGGTTGTACTGCTGCGGCAACCCCTTCACAACGTGAGTGATATACGACGCCTGCGAGTAATCTACGCCGGCCATCCTCAGGTTCACTAGGATCTGCTGCGCACGGTTGCAATAGGACGTAGCGGACTCGTGCTCTCCCATCTCGAGGTTAGTGAGCGCCTGCTCTAACTGACCGATGTACAGATCGTCCTTCGCCATGTACGTGCGCATAATAAACTGCCATGCCTGATAGCCGGCATCGACCTTCATGCGACACGCCTTAAGGGCGATCTGTACGGTTGGGGAGCAGCATCGGGAAATGGTGGTGAATGTCAGCAACTGCATCGCGCGGAACTGAGAGAGATGCGCAAGCGCACGCGCTGGTGGAATGGGGGTGGTGCCATCTATTAATCGCTTTCGCTGAGCGATCTCAAGCTGCGGCTCGATTGATTCTGTCCACGTCGACAGGTCGTGACGTCCTTCTAACGGCCTAGTGACAACGATCTTGTCTGGAGTGAATCTGAAGTAGCCATAGTTGGGGGCTATTCCCTCGTCCCTCGACATCGATCCAATTGGGGTAACGCCCGGCATAGCCTCACTATCAAACTCTTCCGCAATTCTTCCTCCAGCAACGCTCCGCCATCCTACATTCACATGCTCTCGTGACGCTGCTGCACGATGAACACGCTCCTGTACACCGCCGACGCTAGCCGTACTAAACCGAGTTGGTCCTCGCAGGACCCCACGCGACATCAACCCATCAAACTTGTCAGAACATATCTATAGCTTATACTATTGTGTAGGCTGTAGTGGGGTATCCCATAGGGGGTACAACCCAGTTAGGGTTTCATATTTGTACTGCCTTCATTCATAGTTCACACATCTCTGTTCACTTATTTCACATGGTATAGAGCGGGTCCTTCCTAAGGACCGTTTTTTTAGGGCCCACCGAAGCGCGCCCCGAGGCGCGCATTTTTTTAGCGACCCCTCGGGTCGCCATTTCCCTCGCGGCCCCGCTGCCCCTCCTGATCGCGGCCCCGCCGCCTGCTTGACGCGGCCCCGCCGCCTCCAATGACGCGGCCCCGCCACCGGCTCTGACGCGGCCCTGCCGCCCGCTACGTCGCGGCCCCGCCGCCTGCTTGACGCGGCCCCGCCGCCTCCACTGACGCGGCCCCGCCGCCGGCTCTGACGCGGCCCTGCCGGCCCGCCGCTGCACCTGACGGCCCCGCCGCTGCACCTGCCGGCCCGCCGCTGCACCCTACGGCCCGCCACTGCACCCTACGGCCCGCCGCCTCACCTGACGGCCCCGCCGCTGCGCCTGCCGGCCCGCCGCTGCACCCTACGGCCCGCCGCTGCACCCAGCGGCCCGCCGCTTCACCTGACGGCCCAGCCGCTGCACCTGCCGGCCCGCCGCTGCACCCTACGGCCCGCCGCTGCACCCAGCGGCCCGCCGCTTCACCTGACGGCCCCGCCGCTGCACCTACCGGCCCGCCGCTGCACCCTACGGCCCCGCCGCTGCACCTGCCGGCCCGCCGCTGCACCGGTCGACCCGCCGCTGCACCTGCCGGCCCGCCGCTGCACCTAACGGCCCCGCCCCTGCATCTCCCGGCCGAGCCGCCCCAGCAGCAGAGCCGCCCCAGCAGCCGAGCCGCCCCAGCCGCCGAGCTGCCCCAGCAGCCGAGCCGCCCCAGCAGCCGAGCCGCCCCAGCAGCCGAGCCGCCCCAGCTGCAGTGCCGCCCGAGCCGCCCGAGCAGCCGAGTCGCCCGAGCCGCCCGAGCCGCCCAGCAGTCGAGCCGCCCGAGCCGCCGAGCCGCCCGAGCCGCCCAGCAGTCGAGCCGCCCGAGCCGCCCGAGCCGCCCGAGCCCTCCCTGCACTGCCCTGTCTGGTGAGCACTGAGCTTTACTCTGCGCACTGCCCTCTCTCTACTGCTGTCATGGCTACCCCCAGTGTCCTCGCCTTTGACGCTGAGGGCAGAGCCATTGACTTTGACGTGTGAGTAGACGACCTACTGCTTTTCCTACAGTGCGACAGAGCTGACGGACTCTCTCTCTTTGATCTCACTTCTGGTGCCTCTCCCGCCCCTGCTGCTACTGAGGATGCCACTGTTCGCTCACAGTGGGCCACACGCGATGCTGCTGCACGTCTTGCTGTGCGTCGCCACCTCCCTCCCGCTGAGCGTGCACACTTTGGGTCGTACAAGAGTGCTAAGACCTTGTACGACGCCGTTATCGCACGCTACTCCACCCCTGCCATTGCTGCACTGAGCCGCCTCATGCTACCGTACCTCTTTCCCGACCTTGCTGCTTTTGCCACAGTCGCCGACCTCATTACCCACCTGCGCACTAGTGACGCTCGTTTCCGCGCTGCACTTCCTGCTGAGTTCTGCGCCAAGAACCCCCCCCCCCAGTACTTCACTCTCTACTACATTGTCACCCGCCTCCCTGACTCCCTTCGCGGAGTCAGGGACGACCTACTCGCAGTCTGCCCCACCACTCTCACTGTCGAGATCCTCGAGAAGTCCCTCCTCGCAGCCGAGAAGAGCATTCTCGCTGTAGGGGCCTCTCGTGGTGACCCGCGCACCCCCATCTTTGAGGGGTGTTCCCCCTCCCCCCTCCTGCCCTCTGTCGCCTCTGCTGCTACGGCCGACCTTGTTGGTTTTGAGTCGGTCGGAGCGGCGTCTGCCCCCAGCGGGAGACGTCGCTCTGGCAAGAGCAAGGGGGGCAGGGGCGGTGGTGGAGGCGGCGGGGGCGGTGGAGGCGGAGGTAGAGGCAGCGGAAGAGGTGAGGGTGGTAGCGGGAGTAGTGGCGGGAGTGGA